AACTACAATAAATTCACTAATCTAAAAAAGTGATGAGGGCTGGTGAGATGGCTCTGGGTAGAAGTGCTTGCACCAAGCCTGATGACCTAAACACAATTCCTAAGACCCACGCAGTAAAAGAAGAGAACTAACTCCCACAAGATGTTCTCTGACCGCCACAGACATGTTGTGGCACCCATATAGCAAGCCTGATGACCTAAACACAATTCCTAAGACCCACGCAGTAAAAGAAGAGAACCAACTCCCACAAGATGTTCTCTGACTGCCACAGACATGTTGTGGCACCCATATAGATGAGAGAGAGAGAGAGAGAGAGAGAGAGAATAAAATATAAGAGAGAGAGAGAGAGAGAGAGAGAGAGAGAGAGAGAATAAAATATAATTTAATTTTTTTAAAGAATCATAAGGACTGAAGAGAAGGCTCAGAGGTTAAGAGAACTTACTACTCTTGCAGAGGACCCAAGTTCAGTTTCCAGGACCTGTGTAAGGCAACCACCTGTAACTCCAGCTTTAGAGGATCTAATGCCCTCTTCTGGCCTCCATGGACACCTACACTCACATTCATAAACATACACAATTTTTTTTAAGTTTTTAAATTCTTAGACATATGCACTTCACCATGAAGAAATAGAAAACCTGAACAGACCACTAATGAGTAGTAACACTGAATTAGTATAAAAAGACACTTATCAAAGAAAATCCCAAGAATGAGTGGTTTCTCTACTAAGGTCTACTTCAATGAAGAATTGATAACCGTTTTACTAAATTATCCCAAATAGTGAAAGGAGGAAAATCTTGCAAATGCACTCTGCACACAACCAGCATTACCTGCTATTTAAACCAGAGAAGGAAACACCAAAACACCAGCCAGTATCCTTGATGAACATAGATGCAAAATATTATTGAACTGAATCTCACAACACATTACAAAGATTATTCATTTTGATCAAGTGATACTCATTTCAGGGATGTGAGCATGATGTAGCAGTTGCTAATCAAAAAGTGTGACACAACCCATCAGCAGAGGGAAGGATGCAAACAATATGATCATCTCAAAAACTGTATAAAACTCATTTAATAAGCATATCCCTATGGTAAAAGTAAAGAGTAAATTAGGTACAGAAGAACTACACTGTATAGTAAACCACCAACTAGTGTTACCCTGAATGTCAAAAACCTTATGATCTGTCCCTGGGACTGGAACTGGGTAAGGATGCTCAGCTTCACCCCACCCCCTCTTTTTTTTCCACCATAGTCCCGAAAGTCCAAGACAGACAAATCAGGCAAGAGGAAGAAATAATGGGAATCCAAATTGCAAAAGAGGAAATCAAAATGTCACAGCTTTACAGATGATAACCTCTAATATAGAAAAAAATACTGAAGACTCCACAAAAAACTATTGGAACTAATAAATGAATTTCATAATGTTGCAGGACACAAAATTATCATGTCAAAATCAGCAGCATGGTTATATTCCAACAGTGAACTATGTAAAATGCAGACTGAGAAAAATCCCATTTACAAAAGCTGCATAAAATAAGGACTTAGGAAAAAATTCAGTCAAAGAGGTGAAGATCTATAGACAATGAAAACTATAAAACATGGATGAAAGACATTGAAAAGGATAGAAAATTGGAAAAATAGTCTGTGTTCAAATTGAAAGAACTGATATTGTTAAAATGTCTTTACTACCCAAAACAATCTACAGATTGAATGTAATCCCTATAAAAATACCAGTTATATAGACAAAACAGTTTTGTCTTTATAATTGTGTTTATCCATTCCCCCTATTGTTTGACACCACCCACAATGTCTTGAATAGCTGAAGCTATCATGACCAAAAAGAATAAAGCAAAAAACATTATGAGCGACTTGATTTCAAAATACACTACAAAGCTATAGTAATCAAACTGGCTTGTGTGCATGTGTGTGTTTGTTGTTATTGTTTTGTTTTGTTTTGTTTTGTTTTTTAGTGCATGCAAAGCCTGTGGATGCCAGAAGATCCCAGCACTGGATTCCCTAGAACTGGAGTTAGATGGTTGTTAGCTACCACATGGGTGCTAGGAACCAAATTTGGGACTTCTGCTGAGCCATCTCTCCCAGTATCTCTCCATTATTATAGCCACAGTTATAATAATAAAAACAGAATGGTACTGACATAAAGAAAACAGATACATCGATGGGACACTTTAATGGAAAGATTTAAAGCAAATCCATGCATCTGTAAGTAAAAGCTTCATTTACAAAGGTGCTAAGAG